ACAACAAGAATCTGTGGCATCTGAGTCAGGATTTACTCCTATCTAACCCCTGAGCTCAGCTTGAGGGAAGCTCTTCACTGAGCAGGAAGGACAGACCAGGGGCATTTCTCATACCTTCTAGCTTCTTGTTAGAGATAGTTTTTTCTAGGGAAGTAAGGTCAAAAGGCCTTGGGCTCCCTTTTAGCACTCAGTCTTTACTCAGAGTGAAAGCTTATTCCAGGTGCAGCAGGCTGAGAATAGTGGGTCCCAGTTGCCCTGAGCCATGCCTTATTCATGAAGCAGAAGTTCCATGCCAGGAACTTTTGAGAGTTTCATAGAGCGAGCACAGTTCTCACCCAGATAACTGAAACACTGTGTCAGCCCCCGTTTCTTGTACCATGGCACAAAAGTTCTTCCCAAGGGAAAGACAGGCCTTAAGAACAGAATACTCTGTAGCTCTCCCAAGGAAGCTGACTTTATTTGGAATAAAGTGGGCACAAAGATGTTGAAAATGATGAAAGTCTTTGTGTAAACAGTGAAGAGGATGCTAGAGCAACGAGTGAAATAGCAGACAAGTTAGAAGTTTAACAGAATCAGGAGAAAAAAGACAACTAGGAAGAGCCCTCCTGGAGTTTTGGAGCAAGCTTCAAAGACTGCCAACACCCTGCCCCAGCAAAGAGGCCCCACTTTTATTGGATCAGACTGTGGTGCAATTTATGCTATAGGGTGTGGCGAGAATAGTAGAACAATTATTGGAGGCTAACAGCTGGGTGTTCAGTACCACTACAGACAGATCAGCCAGAAGCTTTTCTGAAAGGAAGACCCAAGAAAGAAACTGCCAGAGTCCACCTGTACCCACAGTCATTCCTGGAAGACAGAGAGACTGGGCATGCTCAAGACACCTCCTGTGAGAAATGATGTCAGAGGCTGCACAGTACTGGGTAAATAGACTTCAAACTAGAGATAAAGAGGGACATTTTCTAATGATAAAAAGGTCAGTTTATCAGGAAGACTTTATTAAATCCTCAACAACAGAACCCCAAAATGCATGAAGCAAAATGTGACAGAATTAAAGAGGGAAGCATATAATGGATGGAGCATCTACGCAAAAGATCAACAAAGATAGAAGACTTGAACAACACTATGCATGAGCTAGATTAACAAACATCTATAGAGCACTTCACCCAGCAAGAGCAAGGTTGCTGAATATAGCATTCTTTAAAAAAAGTACTAGCGGTCAACAATCTGACCATGAAATTAAGAAAACAATTTAGTTTACAATAGCATGAAAAAGAACAAAATACTAGGAATAAATTTAACACTGTGAGACTTGTACACTGTAAAATATAAAACATTGTTGAAAGAAACTAAAGAAGATCTAAGTAAATGGGAAAGCATATGTACACTGTAAATTATAAAACATTGTTGAAACTAAGTAAATGGGAAAGCGTCCTATGTTCATCGGAAAACTGCATATTATGAAAGCATTCAGTCGGAAGACTGAATATTATGAAGACGGCACTACTCCCCAAAACGATCTACAGAGTCGGTGCATTCCCACAAAAATTCTCCAGCTGACCTCTTTGGAGAAATTCACAAGCTTGATCTTAAAATTCAAGGGACCCCAAATAGCCAAAATAATCTTATAAAAGAACAAATTGAAAGGACTTAAACTTGGCAATTTCAAAAGTTACTATAAAACTACAGTGATCAACACAGTGTGTTACTGGCATGAGGTATAGATCAATGGAATAGAGTTGTATGTCTGGAACTAAAATAATGGCCAGTGATTTTGCACAAAGGAAGTTGAGCCACTTTTTAATACCCTATATGAAAATTTACTCATGAATTATAGACCTAAATGTAAGTCCTAAAACTAAAACTTAGAAGAAAACATAGGAGTAAATCTGCATGACCTCAGTTTAGCCATTAGTTTTTCAGATACAATACCAAAAGCACAAATGACAAAAGAACATAGATCAATTTTAATTCATTAAAAATAAAAACTTCTGTACTACCAACTGTAGCATCAGGGATATGACAAAGTTCACAGATGGGAGAAATATTTTAAAATCATATATCTGATAATAGAGTTGTATTCAGAATATGTCAAGAATTCTTACAACTAAACAACAAAAAGGTAAATAGCCCAATTAGAAACTGGGCAAGCATATGAATAGACATTTCTCTGAAAAAAAGTATATTTAAATGGCCAATAAGCATATGAAGAGATGCTTAACATCATTAGCCATGAGGGGAATGCAAATCTAAACCACAAGACACAACTTCTCATGTACTAGGATGATGTGATTGATCAAAAAGACAACAAGTGTTTATGAGTATATGGAGAAATGAAACCCTTATTATCGCTGTGGGGAATACGCAATTAGAGCAGCTGCTTTGGAAAATGGTTTGGCACTTCCTCAAAATGGTAAACATAGTTAACATATGATCCAGAAATTCCACTACTAAGTACATATATCCAAGAGAAATGAAAATATACACCCACAGAAGTGAAAATATACATCCACACAAAAACACAAATATTAAAAGCAGCATTATTCATATGATAGCCAAAAAGCAGAAACAATCCAAGTACTCATCAACTGGTAAATGGATAAAATGTAGTATAGTTTATACAATGGAATATTATTTGGGAATAAAGAAGGAAGGAAGTACTACATGCCATGACTTAGATGTCATTTAAAGCATTATTCTAGGAGAAAGATGTCAGTCACCAAAAAACCAAATGTTGTATCATTTTATTCACATGAAATGTCCAGGATAGGCAAATCTGTAAAGACAAAAAGTAGTATAGTGGTTGTGTAAGGCCAGGCAATTAGGAGAATGGGAAGTGACTGTTCAATGGACTCAGGGTATTGGGGGGTGCATACAAAAATATTCTAAAATTAGATAATGGCAATATTTTCACACCTGAATAGGCTAAAAAATAATATTTTATACTTTAAATGGGTGAATCGTATAGAATGTGTATTATATCTCGATAAAACTGTTTAAAAACAAACAGGTGTGGCCATAATTGATATGCACCAACTAAAAGTAAGCAGTTCAAATGTAGATATTTTTTTCAAAGTCTGAATTGACTGAATGTGGGACCAAGTTCATTACAATTTATGCCCTGTAATGTCTGTTTTTTAAAAATCACTAAACAGTCAAGTGGCATTAACAGTTGAGGATTTTATTGGATTGTTTAATACAGACATACCTCATTTTATTGCATTTCACTTTATTGTGGTGTATGGATGCTATGTTTTTAAAAATTGAAGGCAAGGCCCTCCACCGGCAAAAAGATAACGATGCTTTATTGTGGTGGGGTGGGACCAAACCTGCAATATCACCAACATATGTCTGTACTGTTCCTAATACCTTTTTAGATGTTAAAATCTATATCACAATGAAATTATTTGTAGTTGATCTTTAAAAGACACTCCCTTAATAATTTTTTTTAGTCCATGAGAGACAGTGTTGGAAAATGCAGCTATAATAAAGGTTTTGGTAATATAACAAAATATTTTATTTAGAAAGTTTTAAACAATGTGACAAACGTAGCTTACCTTTTATAGAAATGTTAAGGGATCGCTGAGTATGCAAGAGAGTTCTTCATATTAAAGTATTGGTTACATCATCGATGCTAAATGTGTCTTTGCAAAATACATATTTTAGTTGTGCTGTTGACACAGTTTGGGTGATGCAGAAATCATAGCAAGCTGGTTGCAGATATCACTGGGTGTATTTAAAATCTTTGAGAAAGTCATTTGTGACTTATAACATGCCTTCAGTGTCTTGTTTGACATTGTACCAAGGTATTTTCTCATTTTTTTATTTAGAGAACTTTAAAATTTTCCATTATATGCTTATAACTAAATGCATGTGTTGATACATTGCAGTAATTTCAAGTAAATTACATGCACTGGAACATAAGAACACTTAAAACATTTACTTTGCTTTTCTTTATAATCTTTTGTTCTGTTACCATAGTTTCCTCTTTACTGTTTAGCTACAAGAATGGGAGTAAGTGCAAAGCGTTGTTAACCTAGTCCTGTGCTCCTGCAGTCTGAAAGCAGGTTCTGACAGTCTCTGGGAGTCTAGGGCAGTGTTTTTGAAACTTTCGATCAGGCCCTACGTTTTTATATTGCAAACATGTTCAAGCATACATACAGTACTGAAATGTTTCCCTTTAAAACATTTGATAACCTGGCTGGTCTGGCTCAGTGGATTGAGTGCCAGCCTGCAACTCAAAGGGCCACCAGTTCAGTTCCCAGTCAGGGCACCTGCTTGGGTTGCAGGCTGGGTCCCCAGTAGCGGTACATGAGAGGCAACCACACACTGATGTTTCTCTCTCTCCTTTAAAAAAAAATTGATGCCCTCTCCTTTTCAGTTCTTTTTCTCAAATGCTAGTTTTGACCTATTTCACAAAATTATTAATTTCATATAATTATTATGAAGATTTTTGAAAGCTACAGTTTGTAAAATAGTGCTCTAGGAACAAAATTGTGAATTCAAATATATTCTTTTTGAGTTTTCCCTCCTAATGACCTTTTAAAAATGTTTGTTTTGTGTGTGGAGAATGCAGATCTCATACTCCAAGGGCAGATAAGATTTGCAAATGAGACTTGGGGTTTAAGGGGTTTTTTGTTTGTTTTTGTTTCTTTTGCTGAGTTGAGTTGTCTGTGAACTGCTATAGTATAGGAAGAACCAATGTACTTGAATGTTCAAGGAAATTTTTCCTTTAGTAATTATAGTTTAACTGTAAATTTTAAACAAAACTCGTAAACAAAAAACATGGATAAAACCACCCAAAGTGTATTTTTATATTCACTTTGCTTTTTTGTACTTTTCGTGGCAATAAATTTTGTCCTGATATGAAGTTTAAAAATATTTTAATTATATTAAACTGATTTGTCCTATCTGTTGTTAGTATTTGTCATTTTTACATCTGTGCTTTTGATATTGAATGGAGAAAGATACTTGTGCAAATATTTCACCAAATATTTTTGCAGGGACACTTAGTCGGTCTGGATGAACCAGCTTCGGGAGCTGGGCAGGAAGCTCTGCTTAAACAAGCAAAACTCATTCGATTCGAGAGACAAGCAGAAGAGTTCCTCAATGCAGTCTTTTATAGAAAAGGTTGGTGCCAGTAAAGAATGACATTTAGCATCTGCTTGTCTTGTATTAATCTTAATTTCCATGCCATTTTTTAAAAGATTGCCACTTTAAAAAATACTCTCTACATAACACTTTATAATTCTCTATGTTTCTTTGGTCAAGTTAAATTTCAAATAGGGGCCCTGGCTGGTGTAGCTCAGCGGATTGAGCGCGGGCCTGCGAACCATGCGATCACAGTTCGATTCCCAGTCAGGGCACATGCCTGGGTTGCAGGCCAGTTCCCAGTGGGGGACACATGAGAGGCAACCACACACTGATGTTTCTCTCTCTCTCTTTCTCCTTTCCTTCCCCTCTCTCTGAAAATAAATAAATAAAATATTTTAAAAATTTTTCAAATAGGGTAAGGCAATCCTGCTCCCTTTCTTTTACTCTGAATTGATGGTGCCATGTAAGTTTTAGTTAAATAATTTTTAAAATCATTATGAAAGTCTCAATATTGCAAGGTTTCGGTCTGTATTTTGTTAGTTAGATTTTCTTACATAAACAGTTACTTTTTATCACTGATAACTCTAAAACTAACTATAAAATTTTAGTGATTTCTCACTGAAATATGACTTGGAAAAACAATGTAAAGTTATATCTGAAATTAGATTTGCAAGCATTTTCTCTCCTTGACACAGTCTTATTACTTCACTAAATATTTTCACTTATTAAAATTGGAAAGCCCTGGCTGGTGTAGTTCAGTGGATTGAGCATGGTCCTGCGTGCAAACCAAAGGGTCGCCAGTTCGATTCCCAGTCAGGGCACATGCCTCGGCTGCAGGCCAGGTCCCCAGTTGGGGGCATGTGAGAGGCAACCACACATTGATGTTTCTCTGCCTCTCTTTCTCCTTCCCCTCCCCTTTCCCCTTTCTCTAATAAATAAATAAAATCTTTAAGAAAGCTGAAAAAAATTGGAGAAAAAAGTTCATTATTATAAAATAAAATTTCCTCCACACATTTGAGGTGGATCTGTTGTATTTTTCTATTTCTTTTTCTCCTTGAAACTTTTGTACACTTGTTTCACATTTCTCTATCCTAAAAGTGTAATTATTACCAGCTTATTATCTTTTAGAAGCTTCCATTTTAGCAGAGTCTTTACCTTGAAAATATTCTTTCTAAATAGATTTTTAGCCCTGGCTGGTGTTGCTCAGTTGGTTGGAGCATCATCCCACTTCAGTTACAGGTTTGATTCCCATCAGGGCATAGACCTAGGTTGCAAATTTGGTCCCTGGTCTGGTCATATACTTTCCCCAGTCTATTATGTACAGGAGGCAGCCAATGCTTCTCTCTGTTACTGACTTTCCTCTTTTCTTTATTTCTCTCTAAAAGCAATGGGCAAAAAAGTTCTTGAGTGAGGATAAAAACAATAATAAACAGATTTTTAATCTTTAGCGGAGTCAGTGGTTCTCTTTAATGTAGTTTCCACCTCTCATTCCTCTGGAAATTCACTTCTGCCCTCTGAAGTCTGAAAGCTGATGTTTGCCTGATTAAGTACTGAATCTGATGAGTTGGTTAAAATCAGAGACCAGCTGGGCTTCTGTGTAATGTAATTGATGTTTTCAAAAGGGAATATGTGGTAAAATATAATATAAAATTAAGGGATGCACAAGATGATTGTTTTCAGTGAAATTTTTAAGAAGTTTCTTCTATCACTAAATTAAATCTTTAGTGCATTCTGTTTTTTCTTTTAATGACATCCTCTTATACCCGGTGACGTAAAGCTCCCAACCGATGCTCCTGCACTTATTGTGTCAGAATGATGAGGCATCTAAAGATGATGAGGCTCATCTTATTGTCTCAGTAAAGTATCCTGAATTCCAAAGTTATGTTCAAAATAGTAATATTCTTAGTTTCTTTTATGAACATTTGATTGTTTTATTAAAGTAATTCACATCTAAAGTATAAATGACTGGTAGATCAATTCAGTCAGTTTATTAACTGAATAAAATCTCTTTAAAGCTTCTTTGCTGTGCACTGAGTCACAGGTCTCCTGTCTCAGCAAACATATTATTATCTGAAAAGAATAGCTCCTCTCCCTAATGTACATGGAGGAACCTCTTTTCATCCACCGTTTGCTTAAAGGGAGTTACTTTTCCACTAGTCCCATCTCTTTCTCCTATAGGGATAACTTACATTGAGGTTTTTATAGTTTCATTTAGTAATTAAACTTCAGGGAACGTAACAGAGAAATTGTTACCCTAACATCAGTCTTAGAATAAACTTCAAGAGATGAGAATTCCTTGAATTTGTATGTCAAGTTGTGTGTTTTTATACTGCTGATACTGCTATCAGAAAAAGAACTACTATTTGCAATCGAAATTCTCTCTGCCTTGCTTTATGTATTAATATTGTTATTTAGATGTTTTACATATATAAATACATCAAATGAGCATAACTACTCTTGAAATTAATGCTTAAATGTTTATTATCTAGAGATATGACAGGCAATTTATAGTCAGAAGAGAATAGTTTGTTTTGAAAAAAAATTCAGATACTTGGATTTAGTCCTTTCTTTCCAATATTGCACATCATATGTTATAAATAAATGAGTATGAAAAGGTTTTATGTCACTAGATAGAAACATTAGTGCAACAAAAGTAGGCTTCTGTGGTCTGGACTTTATTTAAGAACAGTGTACCTTCTACCACTGTTAGGATCACATTTCTTTTCAGCTTGTTTTGTCACTTGTGTTAAGGAAATTTGACACTTTTCTAAAAGTTAAAGGTCCATTTTTAAAACATACAGGTGGATGCGAGGCAGCTTTTATATGTTTTTCTGTAGTTTAATTTTGATTTGACTTTTTATTTTACTCAATTGTGCATGTTCCCCAAGGCATGGCTCTGTTTATAGATACAGTGTTTTAAGTAAGTGAAGAAATGAAAAATGTTCAAGATACTTCTTTTTAATTGATATAAGAGAGAGAGATTTGTTGTTCCTCTTATTTATACATTCATTGGTTGATTATTGTGCCCTAACTGGGGACCAAACCTGCAACCTTGGCATATTGGGATGACACTCCAATCAACTGAGCTGGGCGAGAAAAAGAAGCTTTCAAAAGACATAGAAAAAATGGCAGAAATGTCATCAATTAATAAACATGAATTGTGTTTCATAATTGTTATTCATTTAACAAAAGGCAAAATATGCTCTAATGATTTAAAGCTCAAAGGTAACAATTTGTGGTATTTATCCTAAAACTTTGACTCTTATGAATGAATCTCTAATTATATTTATTAATCTAGTTAAACACAGAGACATCTCATAAATTACTTCATTTTGCTTCCTATTTGGAAACTTCTTTATATATTACATATTCTTCAGCTTTTGAGGGGATATGTTAATAGAGTAAAACTTGAAATTATATATAGTTTCATTTGGAGGGTTGTATGCTACTTTAAAAAAATGGATCTTAAGTGGAAAGTTAAATGAATAAGAAAACTCATTCAGTAGAAAGATTTAAAAAGTGGTATATGGCTAAAATGTTTATTAAAACATTTAAGGAACCATTTTTAGTAACTGTATTAACTTCTGAAAACTAATTCAGTACCTATATTTTCATACCCTGTAGCATACTTACAGTCTTTATGTATAGAGAGGAAAATTAGAGTGGGAAGTACTTCTTTCTAGTAGAACAGAAATGTTATTACAGTAGAACAAATCTTGTTAAACTGCAGAAAATAATATCCAGGCTTTCTAATCATCTTCTGGTATTACTGAATATTGTCCCTCAGAAAATTGTCTGTTTTTAGGAGTCCAGTAAGGTTTCGAGGTGTGATGTGTGTATGTTTTTTTGTGAAGTTAATGGATTTTAGTAGTGAGTTTTTTTCTAAATTTATAAATCAACTCAAATGCCTCACAGCTCCACCTTCCATAGTTAATATTTAAAAGACTAAAGAAACTTAGGTTTTCTGAGATCTTCTAAGCCTCACAAATACGGTGGGGGAAGTAAAGCTCACCGGTGGAACATTAAGATCAGGGGCTGTTTTAATCAAGGGTCTGTTGCTAACTATCTGTACAGATTTGGAGAGGCCACTTATTTTTAGAGCACATTTCCTTCATTTGTTAAAACTATTTGATGGTAATTGATTTGATTGTTCCATTCATTTCTTAACTAATATAAATGCATACTTTACAGCAAGCAAGATTAGGTGCTAAATCTACAGTGGCACACAAACATAGTCTCTGAGGAAGCTCAGGCTCCCTGATAATATGATAAGGTTAAGGATGTGATGAATATATTAACACAAAACATTTTCTGTCTTATACCCAATTTGACCTTCAGGGTCTTTTTCCAGTGCTGAAAATTCTGAGTTAATTTTTATTTTAAAATTAGTGTTAATTACAAATTGGTAACTTAGATATTTATTTTATTACTTCCCTAGCTGTTGTTTTTAGTGGTTGGCAGAGTGTATTTAAAGAACTCATGGAAAATAGAGGGTCTTAGGCTTTGGAGGCTTGGCATTTAAAATTCTAGCTCAAGGATTCTAAAATTCTGGTCCTTCCACCAGGAGTATCGAGAAACATGTAAGGAATGCCTAGACCTCACCCTAGAACTGCTGAATCAGGACCTGGCAGTCTGCTTCTGTAACCCTCACAATGATCCTGATGAACACTGAAGTGTGAGAATTATTGCCCTAGCCTATCATGGATCTTAATATTAAGTACCTCCTTTTATGATCTTGGTATACCTTCAGTTTTAACAGAAAGTAAAATAAACCCTCATGAACTGAGTACTCCATTCTTGAACAATTAGGAAGAAATTGCTGAGGAGAAATTTAGGGGACAACTGTAGGTGATGAAAAGGAGAGTAATTATTTCATAAAAGAAGTGTTTGAGGATTTCTGTATCAGGTAAGTGATTCTTGTTGAGAAGATAAGCTATTTGTTATTTCTTTAATTGATTTCATAGTCCTGGGGGACTGTTTAGAAATAATTTTATGAAAATTTTATTTTTTTAAATCTGCAGCTCATAAGCTTAGACATGAAAACTATAACTATGGGGAAATGCTATTTTAAGATATTGCATTTTAAGAAAAAAATAAAATGAAATGTTATGTTTGCTTGAAAGCTGTCTTTTTTTTAATACATTGTCCCACTTTAAAAGTAAATAAATCTTTGTTTACAGACAGTCCCTGGGTCTCCGACCCCAATATTCCCCTAGTGGCCCGTGAGATCATGCAGCGAATGATCCAACAATTTGCTGCTGAATATACCTCAAAAAATAGCTCTACTCAGGACCCCAGCCAGCCCAATAGCACAAAGAACCAAAGCCTGCCGAAAGCATCTCCAGTCACCACCTCTCCCACGGCTGCAACTACTCAGAACCCCGTGCTCAGCAAACTTCTCATGGCTGACCAAGACTCACCTCTGGACCTTACTGTCAGAAAGTCTCAGTCAGAACCCAGCGAACAAGGTACGGTTTGTCGGCAAGGTCTCTGTCCAATCAGAATACTTTAATTTGGGGAGAGAAAAATTATTGGCAAGTAGGGCACTAGTAGAAATAACAGGATAAAAACTAATGTGATTCTTAAATTATTGCTGACTATACAGTGATAGAGGAGTTCAGATAAAGTTGCTACCTTGCCCATCAGTAGTTGATAGTTATGATTAACGTACTACCCAGGAAAGGTGGTTATAGTTGTTACTGATCTTTAAGTCATGTGATATTTATGTAAGCATTTTATACTTTCCAAAACATTGTCATGTCTATTGTTTTTAAAAGCTCCTATGAAGAGTTAAGGTTTTTTTTCCTTATCTATTAATGTTGTAGGATTAGCACCTATCTGAGAAACAGACATGTCATATTAGGAAGAAAGACAATTACACTCTGCAAACGAGATGATAAGGCAAAAGTATGTATTTGCAGTTTTAAAAGAGACAGTTAGAAATAATGAGAAAACAGTAAACGCACTTTAGATTGTTAGATATATACAGTACTTTATAGATACACAAAAGCGTGCATTCATAATGCATTGTATTATGAGCTAACCCACAAGTATTTCCAAATAATTTGTTAGTGAAGATCCTAATTAAGTAGTAGGTTAAGAGGTTATCAATTTTGCTTAGCAAATATTTCTTGAGTCTTTGAAAAGTTTACTTTCTTAAATAGATTGTTTCTATTGCTTTGTGACCTCATTTTACCCTTAATTTCACAAAGATGAAATGAGCATTTCAACTCTGCCTTTAAACAACTAAAAATTTGAAATTGGTGATGCATGTACTAATGAGATTCTGTCATAAAAATCTCATAAGAGTCTGCAGAAAGATTATGAGATGCCTGAATTTATTAGTGAGAATATGTTTATTTTTCAAAGTAAGTTAATTTTTATAAAAACCTGGTTTAAAGGGCTTTCTTTTCCTTTTTTTAACTAATTGTGAACAGTTTGCACTTAATGGATTGGCATTAAGTAGTTTTCCTTTGCTTTTTTTCTGTTTCCATGTAGTGAATAACAATCAGAATCACTAAGTTTTAAGATTTCCTAGCACAAAACCTTCTAGTGGTTCTATCTTACATTGGTCAGTCTGCTTTTGGTTACCGTCTTTGCAAAGTTGCTCTTTTTCTGTTTTATTAAAGATTGTTTTCTTTATCAAATTGGTGGCTTCCACTAAAATCTCTTTGCTCAAAATATTACACTGAAAGCTTCAGATTTATAGTAGGATAATGACAGGTTGTATTTAAAGTCTGAATAATGAAGATTAACATACAAAGGTACCACTTAGTCTAACTTAACTTCTTAGAATTAGTGTTATGCTTAAGAGGTATGTTGTTTTGACAGCATGCACTTAGAGAAGTTTGAACTAGTTAATAGGATTATAGTATGCAATCTTCAAATGAAACAAAAATTTTAAAATTATATTTTCTAAATGAATTTTAGTGCTTTCAATTTATTACAATGTTTTTAGTGGTAGACTTAAAATATGTTGCCTATTTGAGTAGACAGACTTAAGGGTCTTTAAATAATACTGTCATTGTTTGGAAATATTTTATTAGTGTATTTGCTTGTTACAAGCAATTATGTATTTAGAAATATTGGTGGCACTCAAGGGACAACACTTTTTCTGTATGAGTGTGGGCTTTGTCGAAATAGGGGGATACAGTGTCTTCAAGTCCTAAGTGGGTTTAAAATGAGTATTAGGACAGTTTTAACATAACTAGGTAGCAGAGCCTCTCTACTGGTCAACTGAAAATCATTGGTACATTGAGTATTACCTTCCTCTGTTAGTTTTGGATGGAATGACAGTTTTAAGAGGTGTCCAGACTATGAGTTTCTTTTCTGTACATGTCTGTGAGGGGGAAAAAGAAAAATCTTTGTGGGAAAAGAGAGTTGTCTAATTTTATGTTCTAGTAACATCAATTTGGGATTTGGTGTAGCTTCTAAAACATTAAACCTCTAGGGTCCAATCATTATCAAGACTTACATTATTCTTTCTTTTCTTAAACTTTGCCCATCCATTGATAATAGCTTACTAACAAAATGAAAACAGATACAAAACTTTGCTCTCTAAATATCAGCAAATGAATTTTGAATCTCTGCAGATTTTACCCAAAAGATTGACAACAGATAAACAGTTTTTTACAGATGTGTCCAAAGAGTAATTAAGATACTGCACATCATAAACAATTGATAACTGATTTATCTTACGGACTTTTCTTGTATAGTGTAATTTAACCATATAAACCTGTATATTTTAAGATAACATTTGTATCACTTAAAATTCCCTAAATCCAACTGTTACATACTTTTAGTGCTTTGATAGTAAGGTAAATTTAGAAAATTAATTCTAATAGTTTTGTTGCTGAACCTCACTCATACTGTATAAACTGCTCTTTCTAATATCTCACTGTATCTTAACAGCTACAGTGATAAGGTTTACCTTTTGCCCTATTAATAAAATATCTAACCCTTGGAGATGTTAGATATAACAAGCTTTGCTAAATGTATGTTGCTTCAGGAAGCAAAATATCCTGATTTAATGAATTGATTTCATAACTCAAGTATATGATTATTGTATCTGCTTAGTTGACTTGGCCTACTGCTTTGTCATTTTTAGCCCATTCAGATGACATTTCCTTCTCATTTTTAATATCCTCAGGTGTTTCTTTGTGTCTCTGCAGACGGTGTACTTGATCTGTCCACTAAGAAAAGTCCATGTGCTGGCAGCACTTCCCTGAGCCATTCTCCAGGCTGCTCCAGTGCTCAAGGGAACGGGTAAGGGAAAATACTTGTAGCCTTCCACAGTTTTGTAGGGACAGTTTATCAGAGATTGATGCTAATTTCTTTTGTATGTTTTAAAAATTAATCCTTGAGGGTAATACTCTTCTAGGTGTGCCTTTAGTAAAATTACTTTGAGTCCATCAATCAAGTAAAAGCACAGTCTCTGAAATCTGAAGTTGACCAGTATAGATCAATTGTGTTAGTTTAGTACAAACAGTAGGTAATCAGGCATATGGCAAGAATGTCTTTGGACTTTTTGTTGCTGACTATTTTGGTACGTGAACCCTAGCTTAAATAATTCCAGGGTTCAGCTGTACAGGCAATTGTGTGCTGAAGTTATCAAATAAAAATTGGGCTCCAATATTTAACTTGATACATCTAATGTGGTGTGTGGGTGTGTGTTGGCTGTTCATTTTTTTCTTGTTGGTTTTGTTTTTGTTGATTTGAACTGCAAATTTAATTCTGTGTGGCAGTTCTGAAAATCTAATTGTATTTTTGCTTTTTAAGTAGATAAGACTGGTTATAAATGTTGACAAATAACTCTTATGTTGCCAAGACATTACATGCACAGTTTTGATAACTATTTAGCAGATGAAAGTGAAATTTCTGGCCATCTAATTTTACAGTGTAAGAATTGTCTAATTCTCCCTCTATGTGTACATGTTAACCATTTAGAGAAAAGTAAATATTAATAAAGTTATTCAGATGCCATATTAGGAAGGCATTTCCATAAAACTGTGTTGTGACCAAAAATCAACTTCATCTAGATAATGAAAAATAACTTCAGTCAGTTAAATTACTTAATATTTAAGTTTATTTAACTTTTAGATATCAACATGGGGAGTTGTTTAAATGGTAAAGAATAAGGATTTAAGTGGACTGTTACACTTAATTACCTTTAATTGCCTTCAGATTGAAGGATTTCTTTACTGACTTCTAAAATGTGCCCTTTATTTTCTCTGAAATTCTATTATTTTCCTTTTTCTCTCCTTTATTCAGTCTAAAAATAACACTAATTTAGTTCATTTTGCATAGTTTAATCTTTTTTCCTTAAGCCCTTCTGTTCACTGTAGTTTGTACTAGATAGAAGTTATCATGGTCCCAAATCCTTGGGTTCCATTTATATATCAGAAAAGTTGAGTTGTGTAATTAAGGACACACGTAGGAGATGACTAAGTGGTTTGCACAAATGAATCCCTTGCTTAAGATTCACTTGAAACTCGGCCACCAGGTTCATGTATTATCATATGGTGAAGTTGCTCTGTTTGACCCTCTGAATGGAAAGAGTTTTTTTCCTACATGATACTGTTGTCTGGAAGACAGAAGCATGGACAGTACTACCCATCTTTTAGTTGAATATTCATTGTTATGCTTGTTATTTAGTGATAACATCACAGAGTCCCTCTAACTTTTGGAGTACATAGCTGGTTTATCATTATTTCTGCAAAGTTCCTCTTTTGTACTTACTTAATGTAATTCTCCCTGGGCGTGCTTTACCAGTTGCCAGTTTTATCATTGATAATCTTTATTGTGAAAATGAAAAACTCACGAATTTGTGTAAGTAGTTGACTTTTAAACATATTCAAAAGCTGTTCACTTAAAATTTCAAAATTCATGTTTGGTATTTTAAGTTTTTTATAAGGAAAACTACAAAATTGTTTATATACCTGTGACAATAATTACTTTGACTAGAACTTAAGGAACAAAGTTTGGGGGCATATAAAGTACAGTTTCCTTAAAGCTTGGATTATTTTAAATAGAAAATCAGTGGTACTCATGTATCTGGAACTAATAGTGTTTTTAAATGAAGAAGTGTGGTAAGTTATAATGCGATGGATATTTTGATTTGTTTTGATTTGGGGTTTTCCCTGTTGGGGGCTGGTAGCCATATTTTTTGCCCAAGCAAAATAAAAAATGTTATGTGGAGTTGTTTGATTTTTGATAATGAACATCAACTTGTTTGTGGGATAAATGAGCACTTATCTGTGGACTCCACCAATGTAAATGGTTCTAGTTTTAGGGCTGGTTGTCATGAATGTTGGACATGTTGCATTAAAATAAGTAATCTGGCTTACTCTTTTATTACTGTACTTGTTTAGTGGTAACGTCACATTGGTATCACAATTCTGTGTAGATTTATGGAGACTTGATGATTACTTTGTAATTAATAATTAAGGTGCTATTTTCAGACAGTTGCGCGAAACTTTTTCTCCGGAAATTTGTGAACCCAACCAGAGACCAGCTGACAGGTTTAATTTTTCTTTGCCCAAAAAGCTCCTGGGTTTTTTTTTTTTTCTTTTTTCCTTTTTCTTTTTTTGTGAACACGTTTTAAAACTAACTGCTGAGACCTTTTTTTTTAATTTTAGAGAAAAATAAATAAATAACACAAAGTGATGTTACCCAAGCAAGGCCTTCTAATAAAGGAGTGGTCCCCTCACCCACCCCTCCCTACCTGTGCAAGTCCTGCTCACATCAGTTTCCTTCCATCCAATTAGGCGACCTGGGAGACCCAGCCAGTACCGCCCAGACGGACTTCGGAGTGGTGATGGGGTACCTCCAAGAAGCTTACAGGATGGAACCAGGGAAGGTTTTGGACACTCCACATCACTCAAAGTTCCACTGGCTCGATCCCTGCAGATTAGTGAAGAACTACTGAGCAGAAACCAATTGTCCACAGCTGCCAGCCTTGGGCCATCTGGATTACAGAATCATGGACAGCACTTAATATTATCCAGGGAAGCCTCTTGGGCAAAACCACATTATGAGTTCAACCTCAGCCGCATGAAGTTCAGGGGAAATGGTGCACTCAGCAACATCAGTGACCTTCCTTTTCTTGCAGAAAACTCTGCCTTTCCAAAAATGGCACTTCAAGCAAAACAAGATGGAAAAAAGGATGTGAGCCATTCATCTCCTGTAGATTTAAAGATACCACAAGTTCGAGGAATGGATCTTTCTTGGGAATCTCGCACTGGTGATCAGTACAGCTATAGCTCTTTGGTAATGGGTTCACAAACGGAGAGCGCGCTTAGTAAAAAACTGAGGGCTATTCTTCCAAAACAAAATAGAAAAAGCATGTTAGATGCTGGACCCGATTCTTGGGGCTCAGATGCTGAGCAGTCTACCTCTGGACAGCCATATCCCACATCGGATCAAGAAGGAGACCCTGGCTCCAAGCAGCCTCGGAAGAAAAGAGGGCGATACAGACAGTACAACAGTGAGATACTGGAGGAAGCAATCTCAGTGGTTATGAGTGGAAAAATGAGTGTTTCCAAAGCTCAGAGTATTTATGGGATTCCCCACAGTACACTGGAGTACAAAGTAAAGGAGAGGCTGGGCACTTTGAAAAACCCTCCAAAGAAAAAGATGAAATTAATGAGGTCGGAGGGGCCAGATGTTTCTGTAAAGATTGAATTAGATCCCCAGGGAGAGGCAGCACAAAGTGCAAATGAATCAAAAAACGAGTAGGAATACTGTAGAGTGCCAATTACTGTACAAACTGGGTGAGCACTACTGGTATCACTGCTTGCACCTAACTTCATTTACTGTGACACTTGTTTCTTTGCAGATTTTGCATTGACTTGTGTGTACAGAGTTGAAAGGTGCATTATGAATGTTGCATATTTAAAATTTTTCATGTGCAGTATGGCTCGGGATATTGTTTGGCCTTTTGCATGTTTCTCTACAAGAGAATTGAGTTACCTCACAGAGAACCAGATACATGGAAGTGGACTCCTTGCCTGTAGAACCTGCATGCTTTTCTTTCTTTCTTTTAAGTTATATTTGCCTTTATTTTAAAAGAAAAAGAAAAAAGCCCCCTTTTAGGAACCACCTCTGCATTCTGGGAGCTTTATCACTGCAAATTGGAAAGCCATCTTACAAAATTATTCACATTTTTTTCTTCTGTGATTCAGCTAATTGAAGGATTAAACTAAAGAAAAGTCTCTTAGGAACAGTGAATATTTGAATTTAAGAAATGTGTTTATTCGATGATAAATAATTATTTAGATCAATTTACATTTTATGATTTTTTCTCATTATTAAATTTACTTACAAACTAGCAATCTATTTAGTGCTCACCCAGAGGGGAAGGAGGTGGAAAATGTGCACACACTACCTTCAGAAATGCTTCGGTTAATTACTTTGTGACACTACCTTTGCTGTAATTTTAGTTGGGATTTTCTAAGGGTAGAATTTGGTCTCACCAACAAGTGAGGATATAGCCTTATCTCATGGAGGACAAGCTCCGTTCTTACTCAGGAGCAGTCAGGGTACATTACATAAAACAATAGAGGATGCCTCATTTTAGCAAACTCAGTTTCTTTGTATTCTTAAATCCTTTTACGGATTTGATCATATGCTAACTAATGACTGGATGTCGTTGCAGCAACTAGTTTAAAATATTCAAGATCTGTTTATTGGGGAATGGGAGAAATAGGAAAAGAAATGTGTATAATTAATTATAATATTGTAAAAGTGGTATCTAGATTTTACAGCCTCAATAGTCTGCCCAAATATTCACATGAGTGAAGGATCCCTTTCCTTCATTCACCACAACATTTGTGGTGAGAGAAAAAAAACCACAACTCCAAGGTGACCTAATATGATTTAGGTTGCATTTCAATTTTAATAATAATTTAATCAGAAATAAAGCTCATTAGAGTTTCTTCTTTAACCCAGATACTAGTACAAGGAGGAGGGGATGTATTCTTTTTTAGGTTTTATTTTATTTGTTGCTCTAAATCTTTTTTTCTTCTTCTTTTTCCTTTTTTTTTTTTTTTTTTTTTTTAGCATCCTACATAACATCTCCTTCGTAACTTTTTGCTTGTTTTCATGGTTGTTTAGCACACAGTTCAGGACCTTTCAGATCATGTTTGTACAAGCACTCCTGGAAGAGCAGCTAAGCCTTGTCTGAGATGGGCTTTAAAATCACACTAAGTTGGGAACCTTTTTTTTCTACAGTTTTTTTGCAAGAATAACTGATAAAGCCCATGAAATTTAATTTTGCTTTGTGACCAAATTGAAGTTACTGTTTGTGCAAAACAAAAATCATACCACATCCACCCTATATTCTAATCTGAGAAAGGTGGTCAGGCCCTTCTAAATGCTTAACCAAAAATTTTTAAAAGTCATTGAAGCTTTTATAGAAAATGAACTCAAACTTTGAGCATTAAAATTGAGGCTTAAGATTTCAGGTGGATAATAACAGTTTGAGGAGAAGTAGGTCCAGATATTCACAAGGCATAAATTCTTGCCTGGAAACATCAGAGAAGTTAACTAGGTTAAGGATAGTTTCCCCTGAGCAACCTATGTGTTCAAAGGTTAGGCACACCATTGCTGTTATTAAAATAACACGCACTGCTCATTATTGACATAGCCTGGGCTTGGGTTCCTCTTTAGGTTTGGTTATTTTGTGTAGCAGTTTTTAATCAGTGGGTGACTAAGACTGTTTCCTCTTAGCTTTCTAGTTCTCAGCAGAAAAAGCAGTTTGGGGTCAGAGCAGTATGTGACTCTGTAGCATTTTCTAGCCTAGCTGGAAATTGCAATTAAAATACTCTGAAATGTACGGTTTTCATCTGCAGTTGGAGGAAGTTGTTGAAAGTTTGCTAAAAGCAAAGGGCTAAGCTTATGAAGGAATGCCTCCTTTGTTCCACACTCAGTTTGTCATACACAATTAATTGTAGCCATGTGCCTTTTTGCATGATGTTTGGGATATTCAGTAACCCAAGATTGCTGCAGAAAGGTACTTTGAGCAATTAATTTGTGCTTGCTTTTATCCCCTCTCAGAAAGGCATCATAAAAAGGCCCATTTAAAAATTTGGCCCTAAAAGTTCAACTTTTGTAGAGTTTTACTGTTCAGAGAGGTTTAATCCTATGTGGTAGTCTATAAAGTGATGTATGAGTTGAGTTATGTAAATTTTGTCATTGTAGTGTACATGGAGTGATCATTTTACTAACATAAATATTTTCTATGTGTGTTTCAGTGGATGACAATCGAGCAGCAGAAGAATGGTGTGCCTACCCTTTAATGCTGCAGTTTAAATAAGAGAACTTGTATTATGTCATTTCAGATTGTAGGCTGAGAGTTGTAAATAGTGAAAATTTGAGTACTTCTATTATTTGTTTTGGTTAGAAAGTGAATTTTAAAAACAAACCAAACTCTAAACTTTCTCAGATTAAAAGTCCTGAGACCTGAAGATTGTAACATTCATGTCTGTGACGCTTTTAAACATTACACTTGAGATCAGTCATGACTTAATATTCAGGTAAATTTTCTTTTCCACGAAGCTTTTGAATAAGCATATTTCCTCCAAAGGTCAGTCGGTCTCTCTCTGTTTTTCTTTTTTGTAGATTATTTTAAAGCACTAATTGCATTACATTGGTAACTGCAATATAAAATAGCCATTATTGTTTTGTGAAGCATGGTTGAAATTAGATAGTGGTCCCTTTTAAATTTCATGAGCCTCTCAAAAAATCTTTTAAAAAAATACAGAAAGCTGCTGAATATTTCAAAAGATATATATTTTACCTTATTGTAGGTTTTGTAAAGTTAGTTTGTAATATTCAGGTGCACTTTTAATGTTAAATTTTGTGTTCAGAGTTCCATTATACCATGTATTTCCTGGAGGTGGCTCATCACATGGCTGGCTGTCAAGTCTTGGTGCCGCAGTGATCCCTTAATATTTGATTTCTCTCTTAATTTGCCACTATTCAGTGTTGGCACTTTCAATGTAGATATTCTAGTTTGGGGATGTCCTCATAAATGTGTAACAGATTGGTCTGTTCGCATGCTTAATTTCTGCCAATCAGAGTTTTGCATGGCCCAAAAAACAGTTGACCATTTTTATGGTATGGGAAAGTATAGTTCACAGCTGTCTTTGTCACAAAAGCCTGGTCTCCTCCCATTTTCCAGTGGGCAGATGATGACATTACTCAAACTTACGATATTATTCAAACTGATGTTAGGAGGTGATGAATTTAAGATCAGTTCTTGCATTTTTATAAGAGAGCATTATTATTACAGAATAGATAAGCTATCACACTATAAAATTAAAAACACTAATTCTGTGGAAGGTTATCTAGTTGGTATTTTTATCATTAGTGTTCTCATTTCTGAGACATAATCATCAAACTTGACAGTAAAGTAGTATAATATTATAGTACTTTGTTCAGTAGGCTTACAAGTGACTCTGAACTATGTTTGTGATGAGCTATACACTTATTTCTGTTCCCCAAATACCATGAAGGACAAGGTCTCTTTTTCTGGAAAAATAATTTATATTTGTGTATAATACTTTCTAATATTAAGTTTGTTGTTACTCTGAAGTTTAGATGTTGCTTGATAAACCTTTACTGCAGCAGATCATGAATATGAGTAAGGCTTTGTGTGATAATAGGGTCCTTATGTGAAGTTAATTACTGTTCAGTGCTGGTGAGCAAGCTTAACCAGTGTGAAGTGTGTGTTAGCTTTATTTGGTACACTTTTACTTTACAATATTGAAGTGCTTTTAAAACTCTGGTTATCTTATATAAACCATTACCTCAACCAATTGGCATTTTCATTCTCCAACATTTTACCTGAGCTATAAGATGAGCTATATGGGATCAGATAGTAAAACAATAGGCACAATGAGAAGTTTAGTTCCCAATTTTCTGGAGAGAACTCTAAATTAGACTAAAAATTACTACCTGCAAAGGCCCATGTCCTACATAACTACCTTCTCTCATTAGGCCGTACATAGCAGCCCTGGAGCTGCTGGTGAGCTGTGTTCGCCCCCTGCCCCGAGTAAGCACATGGTGCAAGGCCTGGTTTTAAGCCTTTGTGATCCTCTTACATTTCATTGACCCATAATAGTGAAGCTTGGATTCAGTTAATAATTTTTATAAAATAATGTCAGAACCTGAAATGACTTTTAGTTATGACAAATATGTAGGACAGTTCATAATTATTTTCTTTAACAGGTATTATCCCTGTAGATTCAATTTTGAAACCATATTTTTGCTTTTGTAATTATTATTTAACTAAATTCCAGAGGTAGTTTTCATGTGAACAGCCCTTTTCTATATATTCAGGTTGCTGTCATTGGTAATGGAATGTGACAATAGACTGAACTGCTCCACTTAATCTTTTGTAGGAGACATTGAAAATTATAGGTGAAATTTTGACCTTCATGAATATATCAAAGATTGTTTTCCTTGTTACTGTTTCATTATAATTAGGTCTTCATTAATGCTATAGTCAGGCCAATGTTACTAAAAATCTAATGGCTTCAGCCAAACAGTACATTTAGTAAACTGTTAAGATATATGAGATTCTTTATAAGAGATTTAAAAAAAAATATTGTATGAACTTTAAGACACTACTGAAAAAGAAAGAAATAATTGTGGTACAAGGAATGCAGACCTCCAAAGTCATCTTAGTTTGTTCTCTCCCTCCCTCTCTTTCTCTCTCTCTCTCCCTCTCTTTTGGATTCATTCTGTCCTTGGGACTTGAGTAGGATTTGTGAACATGGTGACTGAAGGGAAAATAGAGAAAATTCTTTGCATATCCTGTCTCTTATTCCCACATAAATTCTCAGTTGCCTTTTAAAGTAGTAGATATTAGCCCTGTAGCTGTGTGCCCTCAGTGTTACGAAGGAAATTGGGGGAAAAGGGTGGAAAGTAAGGATGGGAAAGTATGTAAACTTGAGAAAAGACTAAAGATTTTGCCCTATCATACTAAAAATGAGTGACAGGATAGACAATGTGGTAAAGTTGGGCCATCTTCTTTTGACAGAAAAGTCTGTTTAGATTATTTGAAAATGAGAAGGCTATTGTTGATTTGACAAAGAAAACATAATTCTGCAACTATTTGGGGGATAATTTTAAGGTTTCCAGTTCATTTAGATCTGTCAATAAAATCCGAAGCAAGCACTTTTAGTTAATCATAGATTTATTGGATATAGCAAATATAATTATAATATTTAATCTTTATTGTTTGAATATGGAAATAAACTCTTTACCCCATCTTGAGCTGTTATTGAACAGGCTCAAGATGATCTTTTCAACACTGGAAATGACCCTACACACATACCAAAAAAAATCTAGAGCAGTAAAACATATTCGAAGATCCACACATACCTCTTAGACTTTAGATTTGTCTTGGGAAAGAATTTATGAACCTATAACCAGTATTAGTACAGTCTTGGGTTCTTTGTTCTGCATAATTGCACCCTTTCTCAGGTATGTCCTGAAAACATAAATTTTAAAATAATCTCTTTAGAGATTAGATTCTCAGTGGATAGTGTGTAAGGGGACTGGGGAGGGGGGCTGGGAGGGGGTTTGACACAGTACACTGACACAGTAGAGCAGGGATTTTTACAGTAACATTCAGTAGCCAAATAGAATTTCAACCTAGGATATTTTCACCCCCTCTGAATGAGAGAAACATCATGTTAACATCTGTGACTTGGTAAATAACCGGTGCTACACTCCGAAACTTTTCTTTCATCCAGGTGACATTTTTCTCCCTGGTGGAAGGGTATATAGTAAACTTTACGTCACTAGGAAAGCACTTGTATGAAATGTTTAAAGTACTAGAAAAGGGATATTTAGCACTTTTTCTGTTACAACACTAAAGTCTTAATTTATCTTCAGTCTTAGGTACTGTAAGTTTTATGGTAATTGCTTAAAATATAAAACATACTACATAATATGGAGTCAAATCACATTTATATAAATCTTGTCTTGTTTTAAAAAGACCATAACATTTTATACCTTGCAAGCAGTTACAGGTGATTGCCTCATTTTCCCCACTTCATTAAGCATTTCAGGCTTAAGAATTTGGAATTTGAGAGGAGGTGAGGGGAAAACTCCCCAAAATGAAAAATTGTGTCAGATCATTTTAGAAAAATAAATCACTAGGAAAATGGGTAGGGATTCTCTCTCCCTTTAAGTCTTCAGGGAATGAGCAGTATTTAGAATCTTTGGCTGAAATTCGAGCCTTTTTACTGTGTAAATTTTTAATATTAATTCACTGACATGCTTTTTACATCAGAGGACTGAAAATGGATCTTAATGTTTTTAAGTTGTGGAAGGGTATATTTCTAAAATGGGGGGGATGATTAACTAGCTTAGTATACCAGCATTAGTAAGTTTAAGGAATTTTAGTATGTAATAGCAAAGTGTTTGATTAAAGTCTAATCCTATATTGCTAGTCAAAATTAGTTACATTCTGATCTAGGAAAGATAGTCATTGGGTATTGCTATGCTGTGCTGTCAGAAGACCAGACTAAGGTAGAAACCTTTATCTGACTCCCACACGTTGCTTGTTCTGATGGGATGTATACTCTACAGCAGCTTACTGCTGCTTTATGAAGAAGTGTATAAACTATACATTTGGAGTGTTTGCATATAATTCTTTATAGCCTCCACTTTAAAGTGTCAGACATTAGTATTTTATCAGTCCATGCTGTTGAATACAACTAATGTTCTTAGGAATCCAACTTGTACACACTGTTTAAAAACCCTCAGGGACAGTTTACACACTATTCTCACTCAATTCAGGTACTTTGATGCTATTCTTAAACCTAACAGTGACTTGTATTTTTCTGTTTTGCTTTTATTTCAACGTGCTGGTAGCACATCCTTGATGAATGTCAACTTAAAAACTCAGTTCAGGTATCCAGGTATAACTCAGCCAAACATTTTAAAGCTGCATATAACTCTCCAGCACACGGTGCCTCACACTCTTATAGTGGCATTCTATATATTCAGTTATTACTACTGAGCAGATAATATGGGGGTTCCTGTTAACAGTGTATTTAAAAAAAGAAAATGTGCATGTGCATCAGTGTATAGCCAGCACATGGAACATACACATAGTTAAACTATATTATTTTTAAATGCCACTAAATAGCCAGCACAATTAAACAACATTCCTTGCTGCTTCTGAAAAGTATAACAGATGCAGCTCCTCCTTGATGTGGCTCTTGCTTCTTCACCATACTACTACTAAATTCAAGCACTGGTCCTTGGGTGTCTGACCTCTACATTCTAGTTTATGCAATGTCTTTAGAGAATTCTGTGCACTGGCCACTGTGATGGAACCATTGGGCCAGGGGTGCTCTGAGTTTATTAGTAGTGATTCTGCCAAAGGTGGTGTTGTAACATGAGTATGTAAATGTCAAAAACTTAGCAGAGGTCTGGGTCTGCATATCAGCAGACAATTTTGTCAATATATTTTATAGCATCAAACTCCTCAGTGACAAGTTTATTCTGATGCGAAGTTCTAATTCCAGTGTTTTAGCCCTTTGCATCTTTAATGGTAAAACTTGTTGACTAGAGGTCTTTATTCATAAATATTCCTTTTGTTTTCTGCAGAACTATCTGTGGTTAACAAAATAAATTATTCCTCTGCTTTAATATTTGATATCTTACATCTAAAAGGAATTCTCCATATATAAAACCCATAGCCTTTGAAGATATGGAAAATGGCATCTTTCAGATTTCTAGAAGTTCAAGTGTCATGCAACAAAACAGGAACCCCCTTTACTCTTATGGACCTCATTTCAATATACTGTTTACAGTTTGACGGAATTGTATAATTTAATATTTCTCTTGTACTGTAGTATATATTTATTTACAGATTTTTTTGTACTGTGTGATTTGAACTTTTTGTTCCTTGCTATGATCAATGTTTATGTAGTAGAGCACTTATGATCACAAATTAAGTTTTTTGGTTTGATTGCACTACATTAAATTTTTTAATGCAGTTCTGATTTTTGACTGGACTAAAATAAGCTGTGTCTTAATGTATGTGATGAGTACTTAAAACTTTAATCCATGTGGTCCCCTTTTTTTTGCATTGTATGTCAAAGCGCTAGTTCTTTCGTGCATGTGTAAGATTTAATGGTTCCATTGTATTATTTGACCATGACATTTTGGAGAAACATTCCCAGCTGTAATGTTGTGTATGGTAGTTCTCACTGGATGCTAGACTTTTCAAAACCACTATTCTTCTAATAAATTTGTTGTGAAAAACTGTTTCAAAAGTTTGATATCTACTTCTTAAGACTTTAATGCTTTTTTAAAAAATCCTCAAAAGTGGTAAAATTTCAAAGTGTGCTATAAATGAACATGGTAATCAAAGTCAGTAGTTTCTGATGATAAATTATTTCTAAATGAAATCTCTTAGATAGTTAGAAGTTGCTGCTTCAAAATTGTGCTTCAGTATTTGGATGCAGTACTGCCTTGTAACTTCTGGCCTTTAGTATAATTTTTTTTAAATTTTTTATTGATTATGCTGTTACAGTTCTATTCCCCCTTTCATTCCCCTCCACCCTACCCCCCATCCCCACCATGACCCCCCTTTAGTTTATGACCATGTGTCTCAAGTCCTTTAAATTCTATATTTCCCATGCTTTTCTTGCCCCCCCATCTATCTTCTATCTACTGTCTATGCTACTTATTTTCTGTACCTTCTCCCCCCTTCTCCTCCTCCCACTCCCCTGTTGCTAACCCTCCTTGAGATCTTCATTTCTATGTTTCCACTCCTGATCTAGCTGTCCTTTTAGTTTGCTTTTGTTTTAGGTGTGGTTCTTAATAACTGTGAGTTTGTTGTCCTTTCACTGTTCATGTTTCTTTAACTTCTTTTTCTTAGATAAGTCCCTTTAACATTTCATATAATAAGGGCTTGGTGATGATGAACTCCTTGAATTTGATCTTATCTGAGAAGCACTTTATCTGTCCTTCCATTCTAAATGAAAGTTTTGCTGGATAGAGCAATCTTGGTTGTAGGTCTTTGGATTTCATGACTTGGAATACCTCTTTCCAGCCCCTTCTTGCCTGGAAGGTCTCTTTTGAGAAATCTGCTGACAGTCTGATGGGGACTCCTTTGTAGGTGACTGTCCCCTTAGCTCTTGCTGCTTCTAGGATTCTCTCCTTCATTTTCATTTTGGCTAATGTAATGATGATGTGCCTTGGTGTGTTCCTTCTTGGGTCCAACTTCTTTGGGACTCTCTGAGCTTCCTGGATTTCCTGGAAGTCTATTTCCTTTGCCAGATTGGGGAAATTCTCCTTTATTATTTGTTCAAATAAGTTTTCCACTGGTGGCTGTGCCTTTCCCCCTTCTGGTACCCCTATAATTCGGATGTTGGAGCGTTTAAAGATGTCCTGGAGGTTCCTAAGACTCTCCTCATTTCTTTGAATTCTTGCTTCTTGACTCTTTTCTGGTTGGCCATTACTTGCTTTCTTCTGGTCCACTCCATTGATTTGAGTCCCAGTTTCCTTTTCATTGCTATTGGTGTCCTGTGCAATTCCATTCATTTCAATTAGTTTCGCCTTCATATATTTGTCTAATTTGTCGGTATAATCAACCAGTTCTGTGAGGGTCCTGATCACCAGTGTTTTAAACTGTGCGTCTGAGAGTTTTGCTATTTCTTCATCGCTTAGATTTATATCTGGGGCTTTGAGATCTTCTTGCGCCATTTTTGGTCTGTTCGCGCCCTTTAAGTGTGAGAAGCGGCGCCTTGGACTCCCAGGTCGCTGGGTTGTGACGCTATATGTGGGGGGCGTGGTCAGAGCGGGGAAATGGCGGCACCCTCTGCTGTTTCTCACAGCTGGGTGAGGAGCCGCGCCTTAGGTGGTTCACCTGGGCCGGGCCACTCAGAGTCACTGGGTTATGACGCTGTATGTGGAGGTGGGGTCAGAGCAGGGAAATGGCGGCACCCTCCCTGCTGCTTGCTGTGCCCACTCCCTGGCTTGTCTATCCACGCATAAATGCGCGACCACAGTCAACACGCAGCCCTGCTCCCCTGCTGTCTCCCCCACGCTTGCTCGGTCGCTCACTGGGTCCAACCCTGCGCCTGGATTCCGCGCTCCTGAGTCCGTCTGACCGAGTTTTCCTGTGCAACCCCGCTTCACCAGCCGCTGGTTTCGCCGTTTACCGGTCAGGCTGAAGAATTTGTTGTTAACAGACTTCCGAAAAGTTCAATTTTCCGTGTTCTGGCTGTGTTTTCTGTTGCTAATATTTAGTTGTCTCTAAACTTGGTTGTGTGAGAAGGCAGGGTACATCCACCTATGCCTCCATCTTGGCGGAAGAGCCTTTAGTATAATTTGATACTCCCCTGCCTCAATTTTCTTCATTGGCTTATTTACTTAAAGAATATTTTTAGCTAAACCCGGTATGTTGATACTTTCATATTAGCTGTTTGCTGGTCTTAGTTTTTCATAATTTTTTAGAGGAAAACTTGATGTTGAGATTTCTTGCTAAAAAGAATAACAATTTGCTGATTTTTATTTGCTCTTTTCTTGAGACATAAGTATGAAAATAACATTGTCAGCTCATGAAGGCTATCATAGTAGTTTTGGTTCTTCAGAGGATGCTAGTACCTCCTGTTACCAGGAATAAGAAAAGGACATACAGGGCAGGGCAAAGCGGGTTACAATGGAGAGTATGGGAAACACAGGGTTTATTCTTGTATTATTATTTATTAATTATTATATTATTTTCCACATGAACAAATAAATTTATTTTTGCCACACCCTGTACATTGTTCAACATTTAAATGGTGGTTTTTAGAACTAGATATATAAAAATGGTTTATATTATAAATTGATTCCCGTTGTACAGTGGACAGGGGAACAGCTGGTTTAAAATGACAAAAATTAGAATTGGTATCAGTATATGTAAAGCTGCTTTTTCAAGATCATAATATACTTGCAATTATAAAGTGATTTCTGATCATTTCTAATATATATTAAAAATAATGCCATTGTTAGCAGTTGGTCTAGATTGTCTTTCAGTTGGCTTCTTATTTCTTTGGCTGTCTAGCTATTTCTGCCTTTTGGTCTAATTTTTATGAAATTGGAAAATTATTCAGTTAAGCCACATGATTATAGAGCATTTTTCTGGAAAAGTAATTGTTATTTCTTAGTAAATTTTAAAGCTGTAACTACTTGTTTCTTGTTATTATCTATTCTAAACTAGTGGCCTGATCAAGGTAGAAGGATTACAGTCTATTGAATAGCAATCAGAAATGAATTTATTTTAGTGATTCTATCTTCAAATTGATATCTAGCTCTTAAATTGTTGTGATCTTATTTTTTTTTGTCTTTTTAAAAAATTTTATTGATTATGCCATTACAGTTCTTTTTCCCCCACTTCGTTTCCCTCCATCCTGCACCCCCTTTAGTTTATGACCACGTGTCTCAAGTTCTTTATATTCTATATTTCCCATACTATTCTTGCCCTCCCCCCTATCTATTTTCTACCTACCATCTGTGCTACTTATTTTCTATACCTTCTCCCCCCTTCTCCTCCTCCTCCCACTCCCCTGTTGCTAACCTTCCATGAGATCTTCATTTCTATGGTTCCACTCCTGATCTAGCTGTCCTCTTAGTTCGCTTTTGTTTTAGGTGTAGTTGTTAATATCTGCGAGTTTGCTGTTTTTTCACTGTTCATCTTTTTTATCTTCTTTTTCTTATATAAGTCCCTTTAACATTTCATATAGTAAGGGCTTGGTGGTGATGAACTCCTTGAATTTGATCTTATCTGAGAAGCACTTTATCTGCCCTTCCATTCTAAATGAAAGCTTTGCTGGATAGATCAATCTCGGGTGTAGGTCTTTGGTTTTCATGACTTGGAATACTTCTTTCCAGCCTTTTCTTGCCTGTAAGGTCTCTTTTGAGAAATCCGCTGACAGTCTGATGGGAAGTCCTTTATAGGTGATAGTCCCCTTAGCTCTTGCTGCTTCTAGGATTCTCTCCTTCATTTTAATCTTGGCTAATGTAATGATGATGTGCCTTGGTGTGTTCCTTCTTGGGTCCAACTTCTTTGGGACTCTCTGAACTTTCTGGACTTCCTGGAAGTCTATTTCCTTTGCCAGATTGGGGAAATTCTCCTTTATTATTTGTTCAAATAAACTTTCCACTCGTGGCTGCTCCTCTTCCCCTTCTGGTACCCCTATAATTCAGATGTTGGAGCATTTAAAGATGTCCTGGAGGTTCCTAAGTCTCTCCTCATTTTTTTAAATTCTCGTTTCTTCATATTTTTGTTTGGTTGTTTCTTTCTTTCTTCTGGTCCACTTCATTGATTTGAGTCCCAGTGTTCTTTCTATCACTATGGGTTCCCTGTGCATTTTGCTTCATTTCACTTAGTGTAGCCTTCATTTTTTCATCTAATTTGTGACTAAAATCAACCATGTCTGTGAGAATCCTGATTACCAGTGTTTTCAACTGTGCATCTGATAGGTTGGCTGTCTCTTGGTCGCTTAGAAGTATTGGCTGTAGGGCTTTGAGCTATTCCGCTTGAGCCATAATGTTTTGGTCTGTTCGCGCCAGTTTCGTATGGGGGCGGAGGCTTAGGTGTTCACTGGGGCGTGGCAACCCACGTCGCTGGGTTGTGACGCTGTATGTGCGGGCAGGGTCAGAGCAAGCAATGGCGTTTGTTCCTCTCTCAGATTTCAGTCCCCTCTGCCGCTTCCCTTCTGGTGCTGGTTCCCAGGTAGGTGGGCATGTGTATGTTCTAGGACCCTGTGGGTCTCTCCAACCAACTTTCCTGTGAGGCTGGGAGCCTCTGCTGGCACCTCAACCCCCAGAGTGTTTCCAGTTGGTCCTTTTAGGCTTTAATTCCCCTCACTGGGGCCCTGGGTCACACGCTCTGTCTCACTGCTCTTTTTTTTTTTTTACCTGGTTTATCTGCACACAAATATGTGACCCCAGTCAGCCTGCCGCCTTGCGAGCCTTACGGGTTTGCTCGTTTCCGCCCGTGTACGCTAAGCACCACCTCTTCCTGCTGGGACCCCTCTCCACCAGTCGCCGACTCCGTTCCTCTTACAGTTCGTCATTATCGGACTTAGGTACAGTTCAGTTTTCTGTCTGTTTTGGTTGTGTTTTCCTAAATCTTTGTTGTCCTTAAATTTGGTTGTGCCAGGAGGTACAGTGTTTCCACCTGCACCTCCATCTTGGCCGGAAGTGGTGAGAATTTTAAAAAAAGTGTTTATTAAGTAACATAGTAGATAACCTTGCTTGTATTGAGTGTCCAT